TAAATGTACTATGCATCTGGTCTTGAACCATGGTTTCACCCAAGATTTGCTTGCCCAGATCATCTTTCGAAGGCTTTTCTTTTGAGGCTGTGTTCCGCGGTTGAAGGAGGGTGCCATGGGTCCAAATTTTTGGTTCCCTGTCCGTGGTCCCAAAGGTTCGAACCCATCGAAAAAAACACAATTCTTTTACTGGTGATGTACCTCTTCTGTGAATTTCTGAAACCATCCCAACCCAAGTTCCTAAAGCGGCACTTTCACTAAATGTAATGTGCATATATATATAATTTTATATAATATATAATCGATGAATATCATTAGTGTCAGTCATGCCAATATGACATTGTCATATCATCATTTCAACCAGTGATTCTTTTGGGGGGTGGTTTGGACTCCCAGCTATGACTTCAGGAAACCATCCGGGTCCCAGGTTTTGACTACGCATATTTCGTTACTGGTTCATCCCACGAATCCTAAGCAGGTTATAAGCCTAGTTATAGGTGGATTAACCCTGGTTATCTCACTTATAACCAGGGATATAACTTACTTAGTGAGATGAGCCACCAAGTAGGGAAGCCCATCTTTTTTCACGGAGCTGACAACTCAGGTGGAGTTTGTGTGACTCAGGTGCCAAGGTGGTGTGATTCCCTGTGTCTTCACAATCCTTCCTGCGGCTGAGATAGAAAGTAATGTGGGATTCACCCAAGAAAGAAGCTACCATTTGAAAGGGGATAGGTTATACCTTATCAAATTTCAAGAGTAATGCTCTGTGGGGGGGTACGGTCCTCAAAAATGATGGTACGGTGAAGGGTGCGGTACGTTGGGTACGGTGGTACGGTACGGTGGGTACAGTGGGTACCCACCGTACCGTACCCACCGTACCCACCGTACCGTACCCCACCGTACCCACCGTACCGTACCCACTGTACCCACCGTACCCACCGTACCGTACCCATAGAAAGTGTCATATGTACCTACCCGTGCTGAATCATCAGAAAACATGCTTTTCATTCCTCTTGAAATTAGATAAGTTATACCACCAACCAGATCGTCATGTTGAGGATGGTTTCTACTTGGGTTTACCACATCAAGCAACAAACATGAGGATCAGTCAGAAGGCTGCTTCGGGAACCCATTTGTGAATGTTCCAGGTTGGAAGCTAGTTAGCCATCAACCCAAAAAAAACTAAAAGGATTTACCTTTACCATCTGTTAATGTAACATGAGAAAAATCACCATCTATAGAATCTATAGGTAATTTTTTCGAAATGACTGGGCCATGGTTTCCGTAGCTTTGTCAAATTACCAAAGGGGGAACTGGCAAAAATGAAGGTTAAATGGGGTTTAATGGGATTTATTGGATTTAATGGGATTTAATTTAGCTACAGCCTATAGGCCTCTGTTAGTCTGGCCCCTCAAAACGAAGGCAACAGGCACTGGCAATGAGTCGACGGCAGGACAACCAAATGACGACAGCAATGTATCGGCACGCCAACGGCAAGGCAATTAAAGGGCGACGGCATGGCAACGGCATGGCCACAGCATGGCGACGACATTGCGACGACATGGCGACGACATGGCGACGACATGGCGACGACATGGCGACGACATTGCGACGACATGGCGATGACGTAATGACAACATGGCGGCGGTGCGGCGACGACGACGACGCCAATGGCGGCGAAGCAACGGCAACGGCGATAACAACAACAAGGGGCAACCTGCCTGCCCCATCATGCTCAATCACTGTTAGCCCTCCATCTTGGCAGAGTGTGATGCTATCTTTGGGTGTGTGTGCGTGTGTGTTTGTTAACGTGTTTTCTCTGCATGATGACTAGTATATATAATATATATATATATATATACGTTGTTTGCTTTTGTGGGTCCTGGAGTATTGATTATTTTGTATTGGGCTTTTGGCTTGCATGCTTTGCACTTTACAACTGGGTTTTGTACACTTTGCATATGTTGTTGCATCCCTGACATTCAGACAACGATTCTTTTTACTAAAGCATGTCAGCAGACAATGCCTATACAAGTCAGATACTCTCAAGTCAGACAGGCTTCAGTGCACAGAACAGCCTTTAACGCCAAAGGTTGGCGAAATTGAATGCAAAGAAAGGTGTGCACAAACTTCTGCACGTTCACCGCCAAACTGCCCTTGGGTTTGCTTGAGCTATGCGCCAGCTGAATTTCAAGTAAGTTATGCGCTATATAGGTTTTTGTGACACGTTAGATCCCTTCTAAACGCATTTAGTTTGGAACAAGTTCTTACCCATTGACACCTTGTCTTCATCGAATTTGTGAGGACATAGTACCTAGGCTTGCATACTGACAATGAGCAGCTACAGCAACCTGAATCTGTTCTGTCCCGCTCCAATCCTACATGACATTTTTTTTCGATCACCATTTTTTACATAAAATGCATGGACTTGACAACATGTTCCACATGTATATCATTGTATATCAATTCCAGATTTTGCACGTGTCAATCACAGGTCCTGTATCTCCTTTATCTTCACCTCCCCTTTGCAAACACGCACGTTGTGAAATACCATGGGCCCAGCATGCATGGCACCCTGGCGATTTTTGAAACCTGCGCAGCAATCTAGATGCTATCAATGTCATAATCAGCGATGTTCAAAACCCGCTGTTGGTGATTGATTTTGCTCGCCTTTCGGAGCTCTGATCAACAAACCAGTATATTGCAATCAGATGGATCTTGAACACTGCTGATATGAATCGTCTACGTGAACTGATGTTTGGCACACTGAGTGGTGAACAATGGTTAGATTCTTAACAGGATGTCTGGCACAGTGTTTTCGATACAGCTTCGGTGCATTAGCACCCTGCTAACTCATTTGGGCCAAGAGCCGGGTGTAAGGAATCATCGCCAGCCCGTGAATCACTGGCAAGTACTTGCAATAAAGAGAGATCAGCTTAGTCACCTTCTTCATGTGCCCCAAAACAATTTCGCTTTCTGCACCTTTTGCGAAACAGGTGACGGGTTGGGAGCACCAATCAACAAAGTGATAGGTTTATATACATGTTATTTTGCCTAAGAAAAGTACCACGGCCAAGGTCACCAAACGGGCGCGCTATTGAATATGGTTGGGATTTTGCTTCAAAATGAGTATTGCGCTGTTCTACTCAGATATTCTTCCCCAAGCCCAGCTCTAATTATGAAAATCTACTCCGGTAATAAACGTATTTTTTGTATAGGCACCGCATGCTGACCCATGACAAGGTGATATTTCATAGGTGAAGCTTGGGCAGAGGTGCTACGCCAAGAACTCTCAAGCCAGACATGCTCAAATACACGGTCGAGCCTTTCACACCAAAGGTTGATGAACTTGAATGCCATAACTTGCAAGGACCCCATCGTTTTTGCGTTCTCCTTGTGTTCAATTTGTTTGAATTTTGCACCGGCTAAAAAATCAATGATATCAATGTTAAGCACTACAACTTTGCACGCTAGATGCATGGTCGCATGTTGAACCTGGAAAGGTTTCTAGGAAGTCATGTAAATATACAACATGTAGTCCCAGTTTCATCTTGAAAATTTGGGCATATAGCATCTACATCGTCAACAGCGCAGGTTATGTAATGTAGTACTGCATTCAAAAGGAATCTGGTTCACCCATTGTTTTCTGAAAAAAAGGGCTCACATGCTGATAATGCGTCATACCCTGTGCAAGCACATGTCCAACGTGTTTCTTCATCTAAAACCAGTTCATACACACAGATCTCGCGAAATACAATGGACGTAATGCGCAGGAATTGCCAAAATCAAGCGAGCAAGTGGTTGAAATATTTGATACAACCGGCGATAATTGTGAAGGAAAAAAGCAATCAACTTTGCTTTCTTTGAATAAGTGTAGCGTAGATTCTCCTCCTCTAGATGCAAATTGGAACCGAAAATCCAAACGCACAGCGGGACTGGGGAAGAACCCCGCGGAGCGGCTTCCTACAAAGGGGAGACGTATAGGAAGGGGTTTCAAAAGCCACATAAACAGGAAACATGTTTTTCCGCACCCCTAGCTCCAGACAAGAGGGGTTCATCTCCGGACAGGGCGGGGGATCAAAAAGAGAATAAACCATTTGTTCCCTGCATTGTCCGGCGAATTCATCCCCCCTGCCTGGAGACGGAATATATTGATGCACAGAAACATCAAAGAACCCCGAATTGAGATTCACTACGTTTGTCCAAGTTGTGACTTTAGCAACATGAGAGTTCATGCGCTGTCAAAAACAAACTGCTGTTGTTTCAAGCCCATTGATCGAACACAATTCAAGTTGAATGCTGCCAGCACCGGAAACAAACACCCATTTAACGTCACTTCTCTTTTCCTTTTTTGAGCACATACACAGTGCCGATTTGCATCTTCCCGAGGTCACACGCGCTTGGTTTTTGAAACGAATCAAGGCCCATTCGATGACTGCATTGGAAGGCCATAGCGGTCATTTCAAATCACACCAATCATATCGGGCAGCTGCATGACGACGACCTTGCAACAACACGGCAAGCAGTGCGGTGTCATCATCAAAAAAACATGTTTTTATTTGCCTGTGCGTCGGCACGATTTTGGGTCTTTGGTGGAAGGTGACACTCTGTGAGCAGGGGTTGCGTTTTGCTTGCAAATGCGATGATCCATGGATTTCGTGTCGCCGTGTTACTTTATTGGTTTCTGCGACATGATGATAGGACCAGGAAGAGATTTCAAATTAAAGGATATTTCCATCGTCATGTCATTGTCAAAATTGTAAAAAATGTCGTCGTCGTGTGGTCGTCACATTGCCACCACATTGCCACCACATCGCCGCCACATCGCCGCCACATCGCCGCCACATCGCCCCCACATCGCCGCCACATCGCCGCCACATTGCCGCCACATCGCCGCCACCTCGCCGCCGCATTGCCGCCACATTGCCGCCACATCGCCGCCACAGCTGCCACAGGACCTTATTTCTGCCAATAAGGTCCTGTTTGGCCAAAACAAGACCTTATTGGCAGAAATAAGGTCCCGTGGCAGCTGTGGCGGCGAGGTGGCGGCAATGTGGCGGCAACGTGGCGGCAATGTGGCGGCAATGTGGCGGCAATTGGCGGCAGTGCCGCAGCTCGCCGCCCACATCGCCGCCACATCGCCGCCACATTGCCGCCACATTCGCCGCCATTGCCGCCACATTGCCGCCACATCGCCGCCACAGCTGCCACAGGACCTTATTTCTGCCAATAAGGTCCTGTTTGGCCAAAACAAGACCTTATTGGCAGAAATAAGGTCCTGTGGCAGCTGTGGCGGCGAGGTGGCGGCAATGTGGCGGCAACGTGCGGCAATGTGGCGGCAATGTGGCGTTGGCGGCAATGTGCGGCAATGTGGCGGCAATGTGGCGGCGATGTGGCGGCAATGTGGCGGCAATGCGGCGGCGATGTGGCGGCGATGTGGCGGCGATGTGGCGGCAATGTGGCGGCAATGTGGCGGCAATGCGGCGGCGATGTGGCGGCGATGTGGCGGCGAGGTGGCGGCGATGTGGCGGCGATGTGGCGGCGATGTGGCGGCGATGTGTCGGCGATGTAATGGTGATGTGGTGGCAATGTGGCGGCGATGTGATGGCGATGTGGTGGCAATGTGGCGACAATGCGGTGACGCTGTGTTGACAAAGTCGCGACAACTTAGTTAGGAAGACGATGATTGCGTGCCCTCACATAGACAAAGCAGAAGAGTTGCGGTCTTGAAAACTTTACCCCGCAGAAAAATATTTACATTGCAAATTTGGAAAGCCGGTCCTTCTTACCCCGAACCAGAAAGCCCAGCAAATTCACCGTCATGTCCATTCCCAAACTTTGGGGCGCCTGCGTGTTTTCAGATGACACTTGCATATTGTTCAGCGTTGCCTCTTCTAGTCCTGGCGTGGCCCAAACATTAGACAGTGTGACTCTATCTGTTCGCGTGTGTTTTGCAATGTTTCTTGCTGTGATGCTATGACTGTTTGATTGTTTTGGGTATCTTCGATGATTATTTTGTGTTCAGCTTTTGGCTTGCATGCTTTGCACTTTACCACTGGTTTTTGCACACTTTGCATATGGTGTTGCATCATTGAAATGCAGGCGACGTTTCTTTTTACTAAAGCATGCCAACGTACAGTGCCTGCAAGTCAGATACTCTCAAGTCAGACATGCTTGAGTACACGGAGCAGCCTTCAACGCCAAAGGTTGGTGAAATTGAATTCAAAGGTGTACAAAAACTTCTTTGTGCTTTCTGTTAAACTGCCTTTGGGTCTGCTGGATCTATGCGCCAGCTGAATGATGATTGTGACACGTTGGATCCCTTCTAAACGCATTTAGTTTGGAACAGATTCTTGCCCATTGACACCTTGTCTTCATCGAATTTGTGAAGACATAGTACGTAGGCTTGCGTATTGACAACGAGCAGCTACAGCAACCTGAATCTGTCTGTCCCGCTCTAATCCTACATGATATTTGTTTTTTTCGATCACCATTTTTTACATAAAATGCATGGACTTGACAACATGATCCACATGTATATCAATTCCAGTTTTTGCACGTGTCAATCACAGGTCCTGTATCTCCTTTATCTTCACCTCCCCTTTGCAAACACGCACGTTGTGAAATACCATGAGTCCAGCGTGCATCCTAGCCATGTTTGAAACGTGCGCATCAATCTAGATGCTGCAATCAATTTCAAACCAGCGATGTTCAAAACCCTCTGTTGTTTGAAGATTGCGGGCGGCTTTACCAGCCAGTGTATTGGGGACTATCAGGGCGCCCCTATCAACCAACCAGCATACTGCAACCAGATGGGCCTTGAACACCGCTGATGTGAATCGTCTACATGAATCGATGTTTGGCACATTTTGGCACCCTGTATGGTAAACAACAGCTAATTTTTTAAACAGGATGTCTGCAATGAGAAAGGAAGACACGCAAGATAGGTTTCTATTATAGTTCCGGGCTGTTAACCTTTTCGGGCCAACTGCAAGGAATCATTGCCAGCCTGTGAATCACTGGCAAATAAGCTCAGTCACCATCTTCATGTGCCCTTATAAAGCAAGTTTCTTGTCAGCAAAATGTGCAAAACGGGTGACCGGTTGGGAACACCAATCAACAAAGTGGTAGGTTTAATTAGGTTTCTATACATGTTATTTTTCCTAAGAGAAAGTACCAAGACTAAGGTCACCAAACGGGCGCGCTATTGAATATGGTTGGGATTTTGCTTCAAAATGAGTATTGCGCTGTTCTACTCAGATATTCTTCCCCAAGCCCAGCTCTAATTATGAAAATCTACTCCGGTAATAAACGTATTTTTTTGTATAGGCACCGCATGCTGACCCATGACAAGGTGATATTTCATAGGTGAAGCTTGGGCAGAGGTGCTACGTCAAGAACTGTTAAGCCAGACATGCTCGAATACACAGTCAAGCCTTTCACACCAAAGGTTGATGAACTTGAATGCCATAACTTGCAAGGACCCCATCGTTTTTGCGTTCTCCTTGTGTTCAATTTGTTTGAATTTTGCGCCGGCTAAAAAATCAATGATCTCAATGTCAAGTACTACAACTTGGCGCACTAGATGCATGGTCGCAGGTTGAATCTGGAAGGGTTTCTAGGAAGTCTTGTTTAAAAACAATAAAAAATGTAGTCACAATGTTCACCCAAAACTACGAGGAATGCTTTTTAGCACATGGCACCTACTTTGTCAACAGCGCGTGGGTTATGTAATGTTGTACCACATTCAGAAAAGGAATCTAGCTCACTCACTCTGTGCGGAATAAAATTCATGGACTCACATACTGATAATGCGTCATATCCAATGCTTGCACATGTCCCACGTGTTCTCTCTAACCCCAATACACACACACAGACACGGTGAAATTCCATATGGACGCAATGTGCAGGAATTACCAAATCAATATTCAGCGTATTCGAAAAATTTGATACAATCGGCGATCATATTGAAGGAAGGAAAGCCAATCAACTTTTCTTCCTAAACACTTGAATCGAAACAAGTTCCAAAGAGTTGAATATAAGTGTAGCCTAGATTCTCCCCTTCTAGATACCAATTGGAACCGAAAATCCAGACGTACAGTGGGACTGGGGAGGAACCCCACGGAGCGGCTTCCTACAGAGGCGAGACATATAGGAAGGGGTTTCAGAAACCACATAAAAGGGAAACACTTTTTCCGCACCCCTAGCTCCAGACAAAAGGAGTTCATCTCCGGACAGGGCGGGGGATCAAAAAGAGAATAAACCATTTGTTCCCTGCATTGTCCGGCGAATTCATCCCTCCTGCCTGGGAATATACTTATGCACAGAAACATCAAAGAACCCCGAATTGAGATTCACTAAATTTGTCCAAGTTGTGACTTTAGCAACATGAGAGCTCATGGGCTGTCAAAAAAAAAACTGCTGTTGTCTCAAACCCATTGATCGAACACAATTCAAGTTGAATGCTGCCAGCACACGAAACACACCCATTTAGCCTTGCCCGATTCAGAAAGCATGGCGCCCATCTGGGAAAGAACATACGAAAAACTGATTTGGTTGTGACAAACGCGCTTCGGCATCATCAAACCATAGCCATATGTATATCTATGTCTACACCATACCCTATATAACTCTGTCTCGTGATCGTCGCCGTCGTCCTCGTCATCGCCGTCATCGTCGTTCTCACCGTCGTCGTTGTCGTCCTGGCCACGTCGCCATGTCGTCGCCATGTCGTCGCCATGTCGTCGCCATGTCGTCGCCATGTCGTCGCCATGTCGTCGCCATGTCGTCGCCATGTGGTCGCCGTGTCGTCGCCATGTCGTCGCAATGCCGTCGCCAAGCCGTCGCCATGTGGTCGCCGTGTCGTCGCCATGTCATCGCAATGCCGTCGCGATGCTGTCACCATGCCATGGGCATGTCGTCGTCATGTCGTCGTCATGCCGTCGCCATTTGCACCAACTAAGCTTGCCACAGACCCCCTGGAACATACTAGAAACCTCTGCCCACAGGCTTCTAGAATCTAGATAAGATTTAATGGCACTTGCCCTCTGGTAAACTAGCATAACTATGGAAAATCACCATTTAATGGGGTTTAATGGGATTTTATTGAGGCTTTAGGCGCCAGAAGACTTTCTGACGTTCTTTCCTCCATCTTCAAGACCAAACTCAGATTGATCTCATTCCCATGATTCAAGGATTGGTGGTGATGAATTGTCCAGTTGATGATTATCCCATTCTTAATTTGACATAGCTATTGAAAATGGCCATAGCAATAGTGGATTTACCCAGCTAGATAGCATGGTGATTTTCCATAGTGAACCGTTAGTTTACCAGAGGGTATCCCATTCTTTGTCCGATATTCAAGAAATTCGTTGAAGTTTCGGGAATTTAGATCCCAGCCCATTCCCATGATATTTTTTCTCGATCATCCGAGCAATGCATCATTCATGGTCTTGGTTGGGATGTGACTAGTAATCATCATAGCTGACAAAAAAACCCACAGTTCGCCGTCCGCCAGCCCCAGTCTATCATATCCATTCATATCCATTCATATACCCTCTGGTAAACTAACATAACTATGGAAAATCACCATTTTTAATGGGAAAACTCACTATTTCAATGGCCATTTTCAATAGCTATTTTGACATAACCAGAGGGTACAGCTGGTTCCAAAAAGCCACAAACAATCCATTTTCCAACCCCGGTTTACTCCCCAGCAACCAACCACTTCCCGGCAATTTTCCATGGTGTTTTTTCCCACAAACCTCCATACATAGTGGTGCCCCAGTTCGGAATCGCGTTCAGTTGGTGAACATAACTACAATAAGTAGGACTTATCTGGGTAAATTATAATAATTCACTAACCTGAATTAAGGCCATTTGGGGATGATTTCCCTTACTAACCATGATTCCAGTGAGGTCACAGTGAGGTCGTTATAATTTACAAAGACTTATGGTAGATATATCGAACTAGTTGATGGGGGTTATTTCAACTAACGTTCACATCACATCTAGGGGTACCACATTGCAGGGTGGGAGTCTTCCTTTTTGCGCTGGCATTGGTGGCTGCAGTGCCACTTGGATCACTTGGTGCCGACTTACAGATTGGGGTGATGTAGTGGATGAAATGATACGACATGTTATGCACATGTATATGATTATGTGCAATTATATATATATATATTTATTTATTTATTTTTTGGGGGGGGGTATTTTCTGGTGGTATTTTCCAGCCAAGGTGGATTCCAGACCAGACGTCCTTCAGCCGTTCCCAGGCAGAGACTTTGGGTTTCTCCGCCTCCGCAGCCTCCGCGGGCTCCGCGGGCTCCGCGGAAACGCGGTCAGGCGTGGAGGCCCTGCAGGGGACCCGAGCCGAATGGTGGGGGTTTAAAGGAAAACCATAGGAAAACCATAGGCAAACCATAGGAAAATGGTGGTTTAATGGGATTTAATGGGATTTAATGGGATTTAATGGCACTGATTTACTCAATGGATTGGTGAAAAAGGGAAAATCTTCACCGGAAACCATGGATTTGTCCATGAAATATGTTTGTTTCCTGTAAATTTTCCCTTCAACCAATCCAATGATCTTGCTAACTGGGCCATGGAGTGAGTAAACTATGCATAGTAACTGGCTAATTCCACTTATAACTTAGTAATACTGAGTATATCATACAGCTGGTTTTTTTGACCACAACCTCATCTATGTATAGATACATCCAGCATGAGTCCTTGTTAGCCTATTTACACACCAATTGACACTATCTAGGGGGTTGTTAGGTTTGCTTGGACAACCTCATCCAACTCGTGCGATATATCCACCAAGACAGTCCAATCGCTCGCCTATTTGTGGGGCTACAGTTCCACTTATTAAGTTGGTATATTTACCCTCTGCTAAACATACAAAAAAACTATGGCAAATCCACCCATGTTGAGGTAAATCAACGAACTTAATTTTGGCCATGGCTTCCAGTTCGCAAACTGTTGGTTTACCAGAGGGTGACCATAATCACAGGGTTTGTATCCCAACTTGCTGGGCTTCGAACCATGGCTACACCATAGAAATTGATAACCCCAACTGCAAGCCATGGAATGATGGCTTTTCACTTCACCAAATTTGGATTCACGAATCCAAAGTATTGGGATTTGATAATCTTAATTATTTACTAAGATTGAGGTTATTAATCCTAGACTATTCACTCATCAACCAGGTAAACATCACTGGGATATTCAAATTGGGATTCTACCATCGTAAATCACTCTGGGTTTGTAAATATCCCAATGAGCTTTGGGATCATTGCCCAAGATCGGTATAAATCAGCACCCCCTCATACCGCTCAAGTCGGATGAGAACGAAGGATACTCTCCGCTAATCAAACGCTGGAAGATCCACCATTTCAATTACCATTTCAGGAACCTAAATTGGAGGTACCTACCATATATGTTAGGCCTATTTTTCAGGCCTAAATTTCAGGGAATCTTCCCACAAAATATGGTCAAAAATATGGTACAGTACGTTTACGTATTTTGTGTTTTAGGATCCTGAACTTCCCATTGGTGAAGTGTTTCTTGGGTCAGTTAATTCTATGGAAAATATGGTGGTTTCCATAGTCAAGGTACCCCAATAACTGGTTGATTTATTTCATGGAAAAGCCCATCGATCAATGGTTTATTTCGACGATCTTGGCGACCAAAAACCTCTCAAAAAAAAGTTCGTGGATTTCCCGTCCGATAGAGCTGATGACAGCAGAGGCTATATCCACTGGTTGGTGGTTGAGCCCGTTGAGCCCTCTGAAAAATATGACTTCGTCAGTTGGGAAATATATATATATTCCCAATATATGGAAAAATAAAAGCCATGTTCCAAACCACCAAGCAGATTAATATTCAATGACATTCCCATTGTATCCCTAGTAATTTTAATATACCACCATTATTGTCTCATATTTTTCAAGTAAATCCAGAAACAACATGAAAAAATCCATTCATATTCCATTCATATACTATTTATATTCCATTCTCATGACTGTATTCATCTGAAGACACAACGAAGGCTCGTGAGTGACCCCATCCTCGAGGCGGCTGCTGCAGATTCAGTTTGGAAGACACGCGCGACTCTTCTCTTCGATGGATCAAAGAGGTCGTCGGTGACTCCTCGTGAGGACGTGAGAAACTCCTCTGAATTCTATGGTTAATAATGTTTAATAATGGTAATATATGGTTAATATATATGGTTAATGTGGTTTAGTGATCTAGTGATGTATTCAATGGGAATAAAAAAGGATCCTAAAATGGAGGTACGTCAGTACCATATTTTTGGCCATATTTTGTGGGAATATTCCCTTACATAGGCCTGAAAACTAGGCCTTATATATGGTAGGTACCTCCAATAAATCGGTTCCTGAAATGACCAGTGAATTGAGACTTTTACTCATTCCTACTGTATAGTATTCTCGGGTAATTCAACATAGCTATTGAAATTGGTCATAGAAATAGTTGATTTAGCCATTAAAGATTGTGATGTCCAAAGTTATGATAGTTTGCTGTATAGTTACCCCCAAATAATAATAATAATAGAACCAGAAAGATAGAAAAGTAACTTGTCACCATTTTGGAAGGATTTGACTTGTCTATCTTATGGCAGGTTGCCATAATAGTGAACACCCCCCCATATGGCAGTGTGTCAAAACCTTGTACCCCTGTAGTTCACATCAAAATAGCTGGTAAATGGATGTTCATCCCCCTAAAAATGGTATTAATAGGTATTAATCCATACCCATATGTGATTCAAGGAGGAATAGATCCAATACTGAACCAGGGTTTCCTTTGGGGGTGATGCAGTAGGGGGAAGAAATTACATCTATCCTGATCTGGCCTGATGTGAAAATCAAATCTGAGCAACGCTGAAGAAGGAACAACGAGGATTAGGTTCAGGTCCAAACCATAAATCGATGGGAATTTCAGGATCCTAAAATGGAGGTACCTACCATATATAAGGCCTAGTTTTCAGGCCTATGTAAGGGAATATCCCCACAAAATATGGCCTTATATGGTACAGAAGCTCCATTTTAGGATCCTGGAATTCCCATTGAATAAACAGTGTCTTGGGTCATTCTTGAAATGGCTCGTGTTTTTAGGGTTAAACAAAAGCCCTTGGGAAATCTTGGTACAGATTTTGCCAGTGATTTTCAGATACTGGAGTCAAGCATAATGAGCCATCTCATGGTGTCCTCATCTGTTGTGACCCAGCGATCGATCGCCAAGGTGCTGAACATAACTGATAGTATATACTATATATACTATATGTAGGGATAACATATAATAGTGGGATAACATACTAATATAGTTAATAGTGGGATATCCCTACATATTATTTATCGTGGTATATATTATAATATACCATTGTAGATATTAATAGTGGGATAACATACTAATGGGATAACTATATTCTACATAGTAGTGCCCCAGTTCGATAGCTAAGTTTGTGAACATAACTACAATAAGTAGGACTTATGGTAGATATATCGAACTAGTTGATGGGGGTTATAAACTAACGTTCACATCACTGGGGGGTACCACATTGTAGGTGTTGGCTTTATGGTGATGAAATGACCATAGCCGGGTGAAACTAAACCAACATTACTGGGTGCATGGTACAGAAGAACCACATGGTTCACTTCAAGGTCACTTTCCACCCATGGACCCATGGACCGCCACACAACGGATGGACCACCAATGCACCTCTACCATCTCTGGTGGGTAAGATTATTCAGCTTCTGGTGAAACTCTCTCTTATTCTTGCTGTCAAACCCTGATGCATAAAACACAAAAATCATCATCATGTGGTTTCTTGGCAATATAAACCAACCCCTATGGTGATATGAGGGATGGTTTATATGATCATATTTGAGATTGTTTAACCATGAAACACCATGATCATATAAACCAACCCCTATGTTTCATGGTTAAACAATCCCAAATCTGTGGTTGGTGCTGAAGCGGCAACGACTCCGCATGGCTCCTAGTTGCATCTCCTCCTTTGTTTGCGCCGCAGCTTTTTTCGCCTTCGGCTTCTCCTTGGAACGGAGATGTTCATCAGCCAGAATGGACCAAAATAGGTATGATTGGGATATGTTATACAGGATGGGGCCCCCAGTCGATAGCGTTCAGTTGGTTTATAAACCCTTATAATCCCCATTAAATATAGTTATATCTACCATAAACCATTGTTAAGCCACTTATAAATATGTTATACCCTCTGGATATTTAACATAGCTATGGAAAATGGCCCATTTATCGATGATGTACCTATTAAAGTGAAAAATGGAACATGGTTATGTAAAATAACGGGCAGGACTGAGGGTTGTCCCGGAATAGTCGTATGAACGTCAGTGGGAGGCTCATTTCTCTGCGCAGGCGCAGTGTTTATGACTCTGGTACATCTGTGGGTTAGTTGGGTAAAATAACTAAAGGGTCATTGGGATCAAAGTGGGATAATCGCAAATTATTGGACAATATGTGTTTCAAAATTCTTTAATCACTCAAAAATACTAGATATTTCTAGAATGAGGGATACAAACTATGACCATGTTCGCCGGCAAAAAAAAAACATATCTGGTGGTTGAGGCACCTTATGGGGTCTATCGCCTCCGGCGGTGGAAACATCAAACGTGGCCAGGCGATCACTGGGAAATCCCGGTTACGAAAACACTCGGAGGTCTCTACAATGTGAGGCCCCCAAGTGATGTTTGTTGGTTAACAAAAGCCCCAGTAACTAGTTCGTTATAAGTACCATAAACCAGAGATATTGGAGTTATAAACCAACTGAACGCTATCTTGGGGGCCTAGGAAAATCATCTGTGAAATAATCCCCATAAAAAGTAGTTCGTTATATCTACCATAAACCATTGAATTCAGCCACTTGTATCTATGAATTACAATTGAATTACCTGAAATTGTGTAATGTTCCAGCACGCCACGTTTGATGACTGGTTGGTGGGCCATCAAATCCGAAAAATGATGGAGCGAAAGTCAGTTGGGATTATTATTCCAAATATATGGAAAAATAAAAAATGTTCCAAACCACCAACCAGATGACATCGGAGGCTCGTTGAAAGCATCAATTTCAGAAGCCCCATTGACATCCATTGACTAAATTTCATTAACCATACAGTAATTATTAGTCCAAATCCCATAGATTTTTTAACTATCCAAATGATATGTTCATTCCCCGCAGATCACCATCACCTCGCAATGAAACAACATGGATACCGTTGCAGAGGCTTGGATTCAATTCCAAGAGGGCACAACTTGACGTGGATCAAAAGCCGACCAGTACAGTGGATGGTAAATCCTATTTTCACCAGATGAAAACGCTGGGCGTTTTATCCCATCCAAGATATCCATCCACTATTATTTTCAACCATTATTTTCTTAGATTTCGCAACCATCCACTATGGCTGGTAATTCCTACAGGTAACATCCCCTGAGTTGCCAGGTCTCGACTTTCAATCCGAAGAAGCCTTGGCCTAAGAGGACGGGAGTCCTAGGCGCTGCGCTGGCGAGCGAAAGGCGAAACTTCGATTTGGGAAAGTTGTGACACATATCAAATTTATCCATTTTTTTTACTGTGCCGTATGTGTGTGTGTGTCGTATAAATTCGTTACTCTATACATATATACACATATGTATATATGTATTACGTGAATATATATATATATATATAGCGTAAATATATATATATATGTGTGTGTGTATTGTATATATATACATATAATTGCACATAATCATATACATGTGCATAACATGTCGTATCATTTCATCCACTACATCACCCCAATCTGTAAGTCGGCGCCAGGTGATCCAAGTGGCACTGCAGCCACCAATGCCAGCGCAAAAAGGAAGACTCCCACCCTGGGTTTTCGCGGGAAATCGCTCCGCAAAATGTTGATTTTCACCGGGAAAATGGTGAAAATGGTGGTTTTTTCAGCATCTAACTGGTTGGAAAATGGTCCATTTATGGTTGATTTATGGGGAAATGTGGGATAATGTGGGATATTAAAATGTGATTAACCATAATATCTGGGTAAATTTGATCACGACCTCACTGTCCTCCCTCACTATAATCATGGTTACTAAGGGGAATCTTCCCAAAATGGCCGAACTATTCAGGTTAGTGTTTTTTTTTAATTTACCCAGATAATATTCTAATGATCTCTATAGCTGTTGATATGACTCTCCCCCTTAAAAAAACATGACAAACCAACAAAACATGCGACTCACATTGTCCCCATTGTCCCCATTGTCCCCAAGGCTGTTGACAGCCAGGTCCGTGGGCTTCCCCCATTCAAAATTGCCATGTTCAGTGGATGATTTTGGGGTCACTTTAGGAAGTCTCAAATGATCAACATGTCAACATCACATGTTAACCATCATATCCATCATTCAGCTTTCATTGTTGATGAAGCCCCAAATGATCATCAAACTATCAGCATCTATCAGCACGTTTTTCAGGATTCACCATCATTCAGCATATCATCGTTGATATTATTGGACAATTCTTTTGCACCATGTTAATTGTCAACAAATGACCATGATTATCAATGATTAAATCTGTACCGTGATTATGAAGTAACCCTCCAGCAAACGTTTACAGCTTGCTATTGAACATGGCCCAGTCGAAAGTTCGTTGATTTGCCACAAAAAATGGGTGGATTTCCCATGGCGCGAACTGTAAACGTTTACCAGAGGGGAATGGGAATTTCATGAGAATATTCATGCTATAAATGGCATATTGATGGAAAGCCATTCAAAAATAGAAAATGATTTTACCATCAACTATGGGGATATCATATGCTTTTTGTTGCTGTTTAAGCTACTTGAATAGAGACGATCGTGGTATTTGATGGGAACTCATGTGAATATCATCCGAAAATGACCAACAATATGGGGATACAAAGGTAGAAGGATTTGAAAAAAAAAACAAACCTCAATGGCTTTCATGTGTAAATTCCCTAGTGAACCATGGTTTATGGGGCGTCTTTCATGGGATCATGATAAAGAGTGTGGTCATTAATCTGGGTGTCAGGAACAATGTAACATATTCTTAATTGACTCATGGAAACATGATAAAGATTGTGGTATTAATTGACTATGATTCCCATTGAAGTCCCAAGTGTTACTGGGATTCTCATCTCAACTGCCGAAAATAACCCTAGTGATGGTAAGTCCTGGAGGGTAACTCATGGGTATTAGTTATATGCCACTACACATCCCTATTATGCCCATTAATATGATATTATCATTCATATTATTCCTATTATTCCTGTTATTCCCATTATTTCCTATTATTAATGACTATTATTCCCATTAATATGCCATGATATTCCATGATATTCCCTAGTAATTTTCATGTTCCACAGCACCAACCTGGAGGGTAACTCATCCCTACCCATCCCTATTATTCATGACTATTATTCCATTAAAATTATAATCCCATTATATTCCTTAGTGATTCATATCACATCCGTATAATTCCCATGAATATGCCATGATATTCCTTATTAGTAGACTATTATTCCCATTAAAATCCCTATACCAACCCTGGTGATGTTTTTTTGGCAAAGTGGCTGCATCATGGGAGGCCATGAGGCCCAAGGCGGCGTCCAGGATGGCCTTGGGTTTTCGTTCGGAGAGTTGTGGGAGACATGGCACTTGGATGGTTAGCCATTAAAATGTGATGGTTTAAGCATCAAAAATGATGATTTAAGCTTTGACAATGGTGATTTAACTATTGAAAAAACCTGGATTTGACCATTAAAATTGGTGATTTCACTATCAAAAAAAATGGGGATTTAACTATCAACGAATGGTAAATCAGCATGGTAGTGAAGATTCAATGAGATTTGTTTTAAAAAAAACTTGGAGGATCATCTGATCATCCCAGGAATCATCACTGCTTCGTAAAGTGGGTTTTGTCTGTTCACCCACGTGTTTTTTGGGGATAACACTCCGTTACTTTCTTTGGGGACTTGCCATCACAAACTCGGCGCGAAAAACTCGCTGGGACGATCCTATCTTTGTAATTTCAGTTGGGTGCCCGAGCTCTCCGAGCTCTTTGTTTCAATGGTTGGGTTATAGTTGGTCTGGTAAACCATAGGAAAACCATAGGAAAATGGTGGTTGTTCATGGGATTTTCCATGGGAGTTGCCCGAACTGGTAAACGTCTACATAGCTATTGAAAATCACCATGCTATTAATGAGAAAATCCAAACAAAAAATCACCATTTTCGATAGCTATGTTAGTTTACCAGAGGGAGAATACTAAGTAGTGGAAATGTTGATGGGAATATTGACGCAATATTGATGTTCATAACAAAAAATGTTTGTTGGTTTATCACGGGATATGTCATAGGAAAATCATCTATAAATATCTATAAATGGGTATATGTCATGGAATATCATCTATATATGGCAATATGACATTGGAATACATTGGATATAACTATCGTCTCAAGTCTCAGGTCTTCCACCCGTGATTTCACTAATTCATCGAATATCAGTATCATGAAATTACCACAAGTTTCCCGACAAGTTTCCCAGTCATCTCCATCATTTTCCATCATTTTCCCACAATGTGAGGCCCCCAGTCGATAGCGTTCAATTGGTTTATAAGTGGCTGAATTCTATGGTTTATGGTAGAATATAATATAACTATATATAGTTATTGGGGTTTATACTGGTTTATAAGCCAACTTATAACATCTTGTAACTATGGGGATTATAACCAAGATAGCTAAGTTGGTTTATAAGTGGCTTAGATAGCTAAGTTGGTTTATAACTCCAATAACTATGGTTTATGGTATTTATAACGAACTAGTTACTGGGGATTATAAACCAACAAACATCACTAGGGGGCCTCACATTGCATGATTTTCCCACGAGAAAACCCCAGGATTTCTCCCTTCGTCCCAGTGCCGCCCCCGGCAACCGCCGCGTCGCAAGGCTTTGGTCTCCTGGAAGGTGAAGCCCACCGAGGCCGCCTCGGACGTGGAAGATCTTCACCACCAATTTGGGATGGTTGAAACCCTATGAGTAATGGGAAATATCTGGGAAATATATGGGAAATATATGGTGATTTATGGGAAATATATGGAAAGCCCCAATTCGGTTCATGGTGAACTGTTGAACCAGAATCACAGATCAAGAAAACCAACAACAATCAACAAGACCGTGCAGGGGATACAAGGTAAAAGCAAGCAAAGCAAAAGCAAATGTTTCCTGCATGCGAGCGAGCCGTCGACAGCTGAGGTCCCAGCGAAATCAAATGGATACATGAAAAAGGGCAAGCATTGTTCAATGAAATCAACACAGGGGTAAAGAAGTGTTGGCCTTTTTCATACGTGCGTTTCTGCGTTCTCTTTGTCCCCTTCTAATGTTTGCCCTCTTCTGTTCTTCCTGCAAATCGTTTTCTGTACTGACCAAGCAAATTTTGCCAGATCTTTTCCACTCTGTAATCAATTCAAAGTCCATTTCTTTCGTGAGTGGATCTGCTATTTGTTTGAAAGTTGGAGTCCAAAACAGCTCTAAAAGACCATCCTGAATAGCCAACTTGACTGAAAGAATATCTAAGGCAGTCTGACGTTCAGCTGCCATGTGACCAACCTTGTGGCAGTGGTCAAACAAACTTTTGGCGTCCGTTACCAGAGCGCCCTTTGAAATCAAATCCGCTCTCCAATTGGAACCTACTGTCAACTTACCGCTGTACAATGCATCCCAAAGTAAACGAAAGAAAAGTTGATGATCAGCACCGGCTGTCATGGCACACCCCTCAGCGGCCAATGAACTTTTCACCACTCGGCTGATCTTGTTGCTATGGTACTCGACGATATTGGCTTTCGATGGCTCCACTTTTGCTTTCTCGCTTGTGAGAAAATGAATTTCACCTAACTGTGCGGACTGCATGGTGCTCTTTCCTAATGAGGCATCAAAGAAGGTGATGAACATGGGATCATCAGGAATCCTGTGATATGTGATCTTGGCTTGACCATTTCCAGCTATGAGTTTCATTTGCTCCAGAACACTGTTTGCTTTCTTCAGATCTGCATACGTGGCTCTCGTAGTTCTTTGCGCTAGAAGACTGATAGTGCTCATGAGCTCCGGAACAACATGCTGTGCAGGCCATCTCATTTGCATCACGAGTCTCCGATATCTCGTGACATCATTCTCACTCAATTTTTCCTCCATTTTGATACCCTTGATCTCTGCTGACTGAATTTTATTGATGTATTCAGTCATGTCATCTATGATGATGCCTCTTTCTTCGTCGTACGTCACAGTCATGCCGAGATAACTCACCGGCCTTTTGCCAAGCTTTTGCCACTCCTTGATGTTGAAATCAGCGTCGATGGCCTTTAGCAGACGCTGGAATTCTGGATCTCCATGGTCACCTGCTATGAAGCCATCATCTACGTGCATGCAGCAAACTGCTACAACAGCTCCAGACTGATTCAATAACACATAGGTGGAACGGCAAAACTTGAGCTCTTGCATGTTGGCTTTTTCCAAAAGTTCGGAGGCTCTCAAGTACCACAATCGTGGTGCTTCAGCCAGTCCATATGCTCCTTTGATCACTCGTAGTAATTCGTGAGGACGAATCTTGGACATTCCTTCTACTTCTGGTAAGCCTTCTGGTGGTGCTCTCACATGTACTGTTCTCTCTGTCTTATTTCCACTGAGGAAGGCCGTAGCAACATCGAAAATCCACGCTGACCACTTTTTGCAGACGATCAGGGTTTTCAAGAGTCGCACAGCGCATGGCATGGTGGTTGGGCTATCTGTTCTGTAGCCCCCGAGCTCCGGGTCTAAATGCCCCGGAATCACAAGCCTGCTCTTCGGCTTGAGGTCTGTGTCATCCTTGCCCTTGTTGACCCTGACCATTCTAAGAGGGGCCTTGAAGATCTGATTCTTTGGAACTTGTGCAGCCTCTTTGGCAGTGAGTCTTTGGAGCACTGAGTTCTTTACCCAGGACTCCCATTCCTTCTTATCACTCTCTCTGAAAGCAGCCTTTTCTGCCTCGTCAAAGAACCTGGGATCCAACTCCTTACCTGATGCCTTCATCTTCAAAAGAAGTGCCTCTGCCGCAACCTTCATCTCCTCCTCTCTTCTGACAAAGGCTTGCCAGAGGGCTGAATCCTCATAGGGAGTGGCGAACACCTCATCGCCAATCTGTATGTATGCCTGTTTTTCTTCCTTCTCTTCTTCTTTTTCTCTTCCTGTCTTCAGGAAAAGTGTCATTCCTCTCCAGCTCATGGGGGTTTTTGTCTTCTTATTTTTCTCTGTCTTTTCTTGATTCTCGGTGAGAACCATCGCTTCCCCTTGTTGCTCGAGAAGCATGACTGTCACACGTGATCTTCTCTTTCCGGCTGGCGGTGGATGTAGCCTCTTTCTAGGCTGTCGATGTATCCTCACGGCTGAAATTGGCAAATCCAGCAATCTAGCCAACTCTGCTACCTCCTCTCTTTTCATCCATTCATTCTTCCGCCAGCCTCGTCTCTCTTGTATCTGCTGTTGTGCCTTCTTTGCCATCATTTCTTGAATCTCTTCCTCCATGACCACGTTCTGGACATACGTAAAGACCCCCTGAGTCAACCTCTGTTGTACCTGCTGCTCATCTACTTCTCCTACTCTTCTCCTCTTCATGCACTCAGGTACATCATCTAGCAGGGTCTTCCTCTGTTCTGTAATCCGTCGGATTCTCTTCTCATCTTCTCTGGCATATCTTTCTTCAGCCTCGTGAATGCCTTTCCACACTTCTTCTTCTTCTTCTTCTTCTTTTGTCTCTGCTTCGGCTGGTGTCTCTTCTTGCTCCTCTCGTGCTGGCTCTACAGCCTTTCTTCTTTTCCTGTATTCTCGTCTTAACCTGGGTTCCTCAAGTGCTTTCCTGACTGTCTTCAGGCCTCTCATCATGGCCTTTGCTCTTTCCTTGGTGCTTCCTGTGTCTGACCTCCTCAAAACCTCTCCTTCTGTCTTCCATTTCTCTCCATCCCCTTCCTCATCAGGGGGCTCTGCCTTCTGAATCTCCTCTATTGTCTTCTGTGTCTGCATCTGCTCATCAAACTGTCTCACCTCTTCTTCTTTAGCCGCCACATCTTCGGCTTCTTCTACCGTTCCTGGTCGGAGATTTGTGGCTGCTACCAGCAAGCATCTTCCTCTCCAGGATATGAAGTACTTCTGTTGTCCTTCTCGTGCTATTACCAACGCAGGCCCTCTCCAAACTCCTGCGTCCTTTCGGTAACGTACTCTCTTGGCACCTGGGACCCAGAAGTACACCTTCTCACCTGGCAAATATTCTCTCACCTGATTGCCAGGTTTTCTTTGTATTGCCTGTTTCAGTTTTTGCTGTGCATCTTGATGCAAGAGTGCTCTCTTGGCTGCTGCTCTCATCTCTGCCTGCTTTGCTACTTGTGTGTCTAGGCTCAGTGCTTGGCCTAGTGTTGTGTTGTCTATGGCGTCATCATCCAGCAAATCTGGAAAATTGGAGTTTCTTCCATAGACCAGGGTCTCTGCTGAGTACCCTCGCCGTGTCACCGTCTGGTTTTTCGCCTGTATGGCGCACAGGAGGGTTGTCTTCATCCCTTTCCTGTCGGTGACTTGGTGTTCCACAACCAAAGCGTTCCAAGCAACGCCGAGTATTGCCCCGTGTCGTTCGGCAAATGAGTTCTGCCATGGGGCATACGCCCCTGAGACCTTGGACAGTACCCCATGTTCTTCCAGAACGCTGATGAATTCTGTTTCAAACTCTCCTCCTTGATCTAAGACAATCTCCCTTGGCGTTCCGTACATGGAGAACCATCTTAGAAGCATGTGTTCAGCTACATGCCTGGGGTCTCTTGTCTTCAGTAGGGCTGCTTGATGGTAGTTTGTTGCTGCGTCTACCATTGAGAGAGCTACATACAATTGTTTCTTCACATCCTTTGCATATTTGAGATCCACATGCAGGGATTCATTGAAGACTGTCGGTCTCAAATCAGACCTCTGTGGTCTTGGTCTTGATGGGGGTTGCATCTTGTCGCATGTTGGACATTGGAACTTCTCCAACGTGTCAACCACCCTCTTGGGTACACCCGCCAGCTTCATCATCCTCCTCAATGCTTCCTTTGACGGGTGTCCCATCCTGCTGTGAATTCTCCTGATTTTCTCTAAGTCTTCTCTTCTTGCCTCTCCGGCATCTTCTGCCATCTGTTCTCTGGCCCGAATCCGGGCCTCTTGACGTCTCCTTCTATCATCTTCAGGTGCTTCTTCTCTCTTTGGCACTGCCTCTTCCTGGTCTGTTTCTTCTTCCTCTCTGGGTTCTGTCTCCTGTGTCTCTCCTTGTTCTTGTTCTTGTCTTGGCGACCGAAGCTCCTCTTCTATATCGGCGCCGTCCCAGTCATCTACTGCTACAAACCTTTCTTCGGGCAGATGCTCTGATGTGGCCCACCTTGCATATCTTCTTGTCCCTCTCAGGTATTCTTCTGCACCTTCTACCACCCGAGTGGCAAATTGTCGTGTATATCCTCCTGCATAGGCGGCAATGCTTTGCCACCTTCCATCAATCTTCACTGCTCCCATGCATGGTGCGTGCTGCTGCTTGCAGTTGCATGTTTTGGCACATCTCCTCATTATCTCTGGAGTGCCGGCTAGGCGTGTAGGCTTCCTCACTGGGCATCCATTGTCGGGTCTTCGGAGCCCGTGAGCGCACATGTCTGTGTCTACATGGGGCAGTCCTTCAAATGCATCTTGAATGGGCGGTTCTTTCCAAGCCTTTGAACGCTTTGGATTCTCGCCCATAACCGCTCCTCCTCGGGCTCTTTGTTTCTGAGCGGCTTCTTTCACAAAGTCCAAAAGCGGTCTTTCTTCTTGCCTCAGTGCACCCAGTATCTCCTTCTCTTCCGTGGTCTTGTAGTTGAGTGCTTGTATTGGGCTCCACAGCCTGCATGGCCATGCTATGACCAAAAGGTCTGGTGCTGCTTCATCGATGTATCGATGTGCTTGCTCTCGTTGTGCTGGATCAAGTAGATCCCAGTGTGGGAGCGTGACTGGCTCCAGCATTTGCCATCCTCTTTTTACTGCTACCATTGAAACCATACAAGACCACGTGAAGACTTCTAAGACCCGCCATGGTCCACCTTTCCTGACTGGGGCCTTCGGCTTTGCCGCATCTTTCTTCTTATCCTTCTTCTTTCCTTTCTTTTCTACCTGCAATACATCTCGAAGCACTGTTGTGTTGTGGCCTAAAGCCCTCTTCTCGTGCTTACTCATCTGCTTCTGATGATACACCTGTTCTTCCATCAGCTCTTCTTCATCTGTATCTTCATCAGTCTCCCATGGCTCTATTCCAAACTCATGGGAAGTGACAGTTCCATCTGAGCTGACGCCGGAGCTCTCTTCCTCTTCTGATTCCTCGAGGTTCAGAGTCTTGCCCGGTAAACTGTGCAGGTGTTCATCCAGCTTTGCCATCCACTTTCTCATCATCCTTTTCCTGGTGCCCATGTCTTCATCATCCTCTTCTTCTTCCACCTCCGTGTCCGTGCTGGCCTCCTCATCATCTGTGTGCTTGTGTTCCTCGGCCACGAAAGCCCAGGCGTGTGGTTTGGACTTTAGGGTCCTGAGTTGGCTCTGGATGGATGCATCCGTCCAGAATTGTGCTCCTTCTGTACCTGGTTGGTACTCCATCAGGTCGATGGCCGGATGTCGGGTGTATGTGAGCTTCATGGGCCTGACTTCCCCTTTGAGTTCCAGAGTCCGGTCTTGGAACCGGGCAACCGCTCCCCATCTTGAGAGCTCACTTGGCCCCACCAGTCCAGGGCAGTGGAGGGCACCGCCTCCCACACATGACATCCTGACAAGATCGTTCTTGCCGTATATGCCTACTGGGTAGATGTATGCTGTGTTGCTTGTTTCAGGGTCACCAGACCCGAATCTGAATGTCTCAGATTCCTTCTCCTCATGCCAGGTCATTCCTTTCCTCTTGAGCTCCTCTTGCATTGCTGTGTGCCAGGCTTGCCCAGCAACTGCACACCTGCAGCCGCTGTCTGCTATGGCCTCACCAGAGTTTCCGGTGATAAATGCTTCGTGCTCTGTGCTCAGAGTCACTGCTGGTTGTTGTGCTGATGCTTCGTGCTCTTTGCTCAGAGTCACTGCTGGTTGTTGTGCTGTAGTTGCTACCAGGGCGCCATGTCGCTCACTGAAGTAGATGACATGCCGTAGGTCGCATGCCTTGCACCTGCTATAGTGGCCATCCGCATTGGCACTCCAACGGATGGACTCAAAGGGGTGGTGACACCTGGCTTGTGCTGTTGTGGGTGTTGGTGCACATGTGGATGGAACGAGGCGGTCCCCCTGGAGCTGGTCTTCATACAGTCCCCTCCGGAACTTGTCCAACTGTCTTGTCTTCACCGCCTTCGGCAACTCTTCCTTTTTAGATCTTGCCTTCGGCCTTATCGGTGCTTGCTCGTCAGGCTGATAGCCACTTCCTGATGCTCCTGAAGGTCTTCCTCTTTCATCCACGCCTATGCCGTCAACCTCTCGATACCGGCTATAGGTCCTCCATGCCCGATCCTCTTCACCTTCTTGTAGTTGTCTTCTGAGCTCCTTCTTCTCGGAGCGTGACATGTTGGGTAGAGCCGCCAAGACTTCTTCAGGCTTCAGTTTCACCTTAGACCTTCCGTCTTCTGGTTTCGGTGTGGTGCCCAGCATCTCTTTCAGCTGGCTTCTGCTGATCTCATACCTGAACTCTGGAGGCTGTTCCTCATCTCCTGATGACAGAACCTCCAGAATACCTGCTGAGCTACCCTGATCTGCCTCTTCGTCTTCCTTGATGACCTCCCAACCTCTCTTCTCTCTCATGCTCAGGTCTCCTGCGACTCTCATGCCACAGGCTGGGCAAAACCTGTCTTGTGTCCTCAACCTGCCTCGGCAATCTGGGTTAGTGCATCTTCCTGGCTCCTCTTGTGTGGTGGTCTTCTCCTCTTCTACCTCAGTCTTCACCTTCTTTGTCGTTGTCACCACATACGTGAAGTGCACTGCCCCTCCTCCGTCACCTGAGCCCGAACCTTCTTTCTTCTTATGAGGCTTGTCTTTGCCTGTCTGGACGTTCTTACATTGGGGATCTCCTCTCCAATGCCCTCTCTCTCCGCATGACGAGCAGGTGGAGTTGATCTTCCTCTTGTCTGGTGAGATGGAATTCCCAGTGCCTCCTGTGGAGCTTCTGTTTGTTGTCTTCCATCCTCGGTATTTCTTCTTCTCATTCTGTTGGCTTTTAGCCCTCCATCCTGCTGCCCATGCTTCCTTCAAATCATCATCCTGAAAGCTCTCTTCATCTTCCTCGTCTTCATCTACGTCTTCTTCACGGATCTCCATCAGGACCTCTTGCGTGTCGCCTGTGTCATTTATGTACTCCCGATAGGGATCCTCTTCTGCCTCCAAATCTTCCTCTGCCTCCTCTTCTTCTCCTGCGTCTTTGTCCTCATAGAAGGTCTTCTTCTCTGGCCTCTTGTTCTTTGTCGCGCCCCTGCTGTGCTGTTGTGACCTCTTGTAGTATGGCTTAGCTCCTGGAGTTCTGGAAAAGCCATAGCTGGGAAGCTTTCTCTCTTCCTCATGGATTCGGCCGCATCGATGTCGTAGTGCAGTCTCAATTGATTGTGACGTGTAGCGCCCTCCAGCTGAGAAAAAGACGTCAAGCCTCTCTCGGCGTGACAAGGATGCTCGGTTGAGCATCCTTTGAGACCATGCTCTGTCTGACATTGTGCTCTCTGGGTCCACCCTCATGTACTGAGCCTTCAGCCTCTTCAGCTGGCCCAGAAAGGTGGAAATGCTCTGGCCAGGAAGCCTCCGGTATGTTGCAAACTCTTGCTCTGCTCGTTCAAACAACTCCTCCTCTGATTCGCCAAACGCCTCATCCAGCAAATGCCAGATGAGTCTCACTCCTCCAGGGCGAGTATATTCTTGGATGGGCTTTTGATCCAAGACATCTCTGGCATCCTTCTTTGTGCTGAGATAGATCAGCATGCTGAGTTCTTCTGGTTCCAGGCGGTACAAAACCTCTTGCGCTTGTACCGCCTTCTTCCACTTGAGGTACTTGTGTCGATCGCCATAGAACTCCTCAATCTTGACTGATCCTAGCGAGGATCTTGGACGGTCTTGAGTGACCTTCGCCTGTCTCCTCAGCATGCTTCTCAACTCAGTTGTGGGGGCTGATGAACTGAAACCGGAGCTCTCTTCCGGGTCATCTGACTCATTGGGCTCTTCTGGGGGACCCTCTGGTGGTCCTTGGGGATCTTCTTTTCTCTCCTTCTGTCTGGGGGTCTCATCTTGCCTCTTGTCATTCTCTCCTGAGTCTCTACTCTGTCTTCTTCTCCTATCTCCACCTGCATTCCTTCGACCACCTCCAGACGTGGCTTGTGTCTCCTCTTCTTTCTTCACCCTATCTGTTGGAACCTCTGACCACGGTTCCTCAGTCTTTGGCGCTTGTCCTTTGCCTACGCCTTTGAGCCAGGCAAGACTCCTCCACCACCGCAGCTCTTCTGAATCTGACTGACTCAGACTGGGAGCCATTGGTCCCGCAAATGTGCCAAAACCCGTTTGAGGAATGGAGGCACTGAAAACGGGAAAAGGGTGTGTTGGCATTCCAAAAGGTGGCATGAAAGACGTGGGAATGCTATTGTATGAGCTATGAAGATCCTCTTTCTTGAACCCTGGGGGAATCCCATTTGAACTCATGGATTCTTGTAAGCCCGCTGGACTTCCCTTCCCAGGTGTTCCTTCTACCCCGTTGTATGGATGCATATCCACACCTCCTCTCTTCGGTGGCAACGCTGTTGCCTTTTCTGCACCATCTTGCATCGCTTCCTTGGTCATCCAAGGATCTCCCGGCCCCTGCAAGGGATCTGGCTGAGTCTCCTCCGTCGCCATGACCGCAGGTCACTAGCAGAAGCAGCCTATTATTGTGTCCCAAACCAATATAAACACAACAAAGCAGAACCAATCCAAAAAGCGTGAGTAAAAACCCGGAGTTAACCCCCCAGGGCTCCGCTACCAATGTTGAACCAGAATCACAGATCAAGAAAACCAACAACAATCAACAAGACCGTGCAGGGGATACAAGGTAAAAGCAAGCAAAGCAAAAGCAAATGTTTCCTGCATGCGAGCGAGCCGTCGACAGCTGAGGTCCCAGCGAAATCAAATGGATACATGAAAAAGGGCAAGCATTGTTCAATGAAATCAACATGAACAAGGCGGGAAAGCAGGGAAACAAGGCGGGTCCGGGGAGTCCGGGGAGTCCGGGGGTCATAGTTTTTGAGTTCGAAAAGTTTTCCAAAGCACCCAGTTTTTGGAATTAGTTTTTGATGTTGTGCAAAAAAAAATGGTCGTTGATTAGTTCCGGGATTTCTACTAACCAATCTCTCTCTATCTGTCTATCTAGCTATCTATCTAGCTAGCTATCTGTCTGTCTATTGACAGGAACAGCGCAACAAGTTTACAACGGTAAATCGGGGATCATTTGAACCACATTTTTGAATTGTGTACACCTTCAACAACTTTACAATGATACGGTGGATGGTTGCGAAATCCGAATCACAAGTTGAAAGGTGTTTTTCTCATTACTTATGGGGGTTCAACCATCCTTTTAATAATGCAGGATATCGCAACCATCCACAATAATTAGCAGGTACCAGCAGCTTTCCATATATCATCTTTCTATCATCTTTGTATCATTATATATCATTAATATGCATTCATCATTAAGAATCATATCATTCAATATTATATATCATTAATCATTTTTGTATCATTATACAAACATAATTATATACCAGGTAAATCCTCTATTTCTACGGTCCATGTTCCAGTTCGCAAACTGTTAGATGTTCGATCGCCACGGTTGATTCCCGGAGGCTAAAATGATGATGGAAAAATTGCTGGAAGCCTCCACTGTTGCCGCTCAAATCACCATTTTTTGCTGGTCCAAACCGTGAAAAAAAACCACAGGAAATAGAAAAACATGATCACCATTCACCGCATGATTTTTAATAGCCATAGGTTGGGGTTTTGGAAATTCTTGGACAAACCAAAAAAAAATGGGGTGAAAAAAGGTGAATCTCCCCCTGTTGATGGTTCATCCACACTATCCCCATTAGAATTCCCATTGTTAATGGATCAATACCTATTCCCATAGCAACTTCAGGGGGATTAACATCCATAAATCCCAGCTATTTTGATGTGAACTACAGGGGTACAAGGTTTTGACCCATCCCCATTGTGAATGGTAGAATCTCACGAGTTTTTCGAAAAATCTTCCTGACACCCAGTGGTGACCACAAGTCAATCCATCACCTTTAGGGCGTATTCCCATGCTTTTTTTGGTTAATATCTCTATTTGTTATTTAACATAGCCATGGTATAGATGGCCCATAGAAATAGATGGCTTACCTATTAAAAATTGTGATTTTCCATGGCTATTGTAAATAACCAGATGGTATTATATTTTGAATCATTTTGATGTATGCTTTATCATTGTCTTGGTGTCTATGTTCAGCCATATTTGGAACCATAATTTGGAAGGATGATCCACAAGTCATTTCCATATGTTTGAAAAAATAATCTTCCAGAAAATCTCTGGGTAAATTCTCATATTTCGCAAAAAACCTGAAACTTGCGGCCATTTTGGGATGATTCCCCTCAATCTAACCATGATTCCAGGGTTCGGGAGGACAGTGAGGTCGTGATCTAATTTACCCAGAAGATATCATATCATCTATCTACATATGTATATGTATGTGTATATATATATATATACAGAATGGGGCCCCCAAGATAGCTAAGTTGCCTTACAAGTGGCCTAACTATGGTTTATGATAGATATAACGAACTAGTTTTCATGGGGATTCATGCTTTATAAACCAATGTTCACATCACTGCGGGGCCCCATCCTGTACCAATACCCTCTGGCTATTTAACATAGCCATGGGAAATGGCCCATTTATAGAGGTTTACCTATTAATAGCATGGTGATTTTCCATGGCTATGTTAGTCATAACCAGATGGTATATCCCATTATATTTCCATTATATATCCCATTAAATATCTCATTAAATCCCAATAAACCATGATATTCCATAGCTATTGGGGACTATCACAACCAGATGGTAACCAATATATCAAATATATCAGTATTTGGTCATGATGAACTCCCAATGATGTTAGTTGATTTACCCAGCTATAAAAATTGGTGGATTTTCCATATATACAAGGTGGTGCCCCCAAGTTATAAATGGGTTTATAATCCCATGAACTAGTTCGATATATCTACCATAAGTCCCAGTTATTAGAGTTATAAACCAACTTAGCTATCTTGGGGGCACCACATTGTATATATATACACACCAATATATCCCACTTGTCTCCATAAATCAACCATCAATGGACCATTTTCCAACCACTTAGATGCTGAAAAAATCTCCCATGTTTCACCCATGTTTCCCAATATTGGGGACTATCACAACCAGATGGTATACCCCATGGAAAATCCCATGGAAAATCCCATTAAACCACAATTTTCCTATGGTGTTTCCTATGGTTTTCCATATATCTGGGTAAATTATAATATTTCACCAACCTGAATTAAGGCTATTTGGGAATGATTTCCCTTATTAACCAGGATTCCAGTGAGGGAGGACAGTGAGGTCGTTATAATTTACCCAGATATATATATATATATATATCCCATTAAATCCCATTAAACCACCATTTTCCTATGGTTTTCCTATGGTTATTGGGGACTATCACAACCAGATGGTAACCAATATATCAAATATGGAAAACATCACCATGTTGGTCTCTTCCCCCACCTTGGCGGCCGCTGACTGCGCAGCCCAGACCAGTGGAGCCATCAAGCCTCAGAGCAGACCTTCTTCGTTCATGACATGGAGATTTTCGCAGAAAAAATCTAGATTTTACAGGTGGTGTCGGTGTAGACCTAACCCAAAATAACCATAGGAAAACCATAGGAAAATGGTGGTTTAATGGGATTTAATGGGATATATATATATAGGATGGGGCCCCCAAGATAGCTAAGTTGGTTTATAAGTGGCTGAATTCAATGGTTTATGGTAGATATAACTATAGTTAATGGGGATTATAAGGGTTTATAAACCAACTTATAACTGTGGGGCCCCATCCTGTACCCCATGAAAATTGAAAAAATTGAGATTTACCCCATGAAAATTGAAAAAATGAAGGTGTTCCTAGAGAAAAATGTTGGATTTCAGCCATGAAAATCGGATTTCATGGTGAAAATTCAGAGTTAGACAATAAAAAATGTGATTTGGATTTACATAGATCACATGAAAATTTAAAGAAATTGTGGATGTCACCACTTCTTAGACCATAAATTAGATGTTATCCATCAAAAATAGGCAGTTCACCAATCGAAATTGAGATGTTGCTCGTAAAATTTGGGAGAGTTAACCATACAAACAGAGACGTTGAGTTAAACAGGGATCAAACTGATCAACATTGGTTAATTGGGATGCAACACCATGGAAGATGGGGGGGGGTACCTGGGTTACCTGGGTTACCTCAGTTTAGGGCCACTACCCTGGATTAAATGTTGCGATTTGCCTCATTAATGGTGATTTAATATGGGTTTAATGGGAATCTACAATGTGAGGCCCCCAAGATATGTTTGTTGGTTTATAAACCCCATTAACTATAGTTATAAGTACCATAAATCATAGTGAAATTGGAGTTATGTTCACCAACTGAACGCTATCTTGGGAGCCCCACATTGTATATGAATTTGTAGGCTTCGACGGAATATACTGGGGTAAACTAAGAGAAAGATGTGGCAGACCGGATTTTTCCCATGGCGGTTTCCCCAGGGAAAACGATCTACATTCATGGTAGGAAAAGGCACATCCTGCACAGGGAATATGTCGAGACATGATGAAAAAAATGGATTGGTGGTATACCTCATGTTTGGCCTTAAAAAAATGAGGCACGTGTTTTTAACTCATTCTTCCAGTTCTTCGGATATCAAGCATGTTTGCAAAGCACAAACCAAGTCCAACCAGCTTAGTGTAAGATTCTGAATGTGGCAATAACCATCCACAAACTTTTGATGGGAATCATGACCCGCTTTTTTCATCCACTCTGCGCAAATTACCATAAAAACGCCCAAAAAAAAATACCAAAAAGAAACGTAACCATGTTTCTTGAACTTACTTGTTCTTAGTAGGGAATGAGGGAATGATCCATAATCACTAGTAATCATCCCAGCAACCCCCAGCAACCCCCAGCAACCCATCCATTCCCTACGTAAAACGCACCAGCAAGTGAATTCCCCCCTGTAAAAAAAAACAACAAACCTACCCTTTGGTAATTTAACATAGCTATTGAACATGGCCATTTATAGTGAGGTTTCCCAATAAAAATGACAATTTTCAATAGCAAACTGTTAAATTACCAGAGGGTATGGCCTAGCCGCTACCGAAATGATGATCTCTACCTGCCAAAAAGCCAAGTAACGGGGGATCAGGAATCCCAGCTGCGCTCCGAACAGCACACCTGGATCTGCTGTAAACATTTGGGGCCCCACAAATGGGGCCCCAAAATGATGTGGTTTCTATTAGTAAGGCCTATGTTTCAGGGAATATCCCCACAAAAATATGGCCGTTTTATGGTACGGTACCTCAAGTTTTGGTACCTGAATGGGCCATTGATTGTAAGTGAATGTGGCTAGCATTAGCTATGCCAGAAATGAATAGAAATGAGTGCTCTCCCACTGTGGCACCTAGTATGGCCACCATCCACCGACGCGACCGCGAGCGCCGCCCCATGTGCATGGCAGTGACCATGGCAGTAACTGACGGATAAAAAATGCAGAAACTTCTGCTGAAGCCATGTCACGTTGG